TAATAATAATATTATATATACTTAAAATTAAGAATTTCATTTTAATTATAAAATGAAATTCTACTATTAAAATTATACATTTTTTCATTTTATAATTATTATTTCCATAATTATAGAGAGCTTTTATAACGTAGCGCCACAGACAATTTTATTTATTTATCATGATTAATAATATAAATATTAATTTTTAAATAAAATCTCTTAACAGCCAGGAAAGCTGTGCAACTCGCTGTTACATTTTTTTCTTATAATAATACATATTTTTTATTTAATACAGAATACACCTAATTTCAAAGCATAATATTATATTGATGTACGTTTTCAACCATTCGGAAAGCTACGTTAATATTAAAATTTCACTGTAAAATATTTCGAAATTTGTATTACTTACCATTACCTGTTCATTATCAGCTGGAAGATGAATATCTTTACAATCTTCAGTTTTTACTTCAATTTTCAATTTTTTCAAATCAACTTTACATTCTGTTTTTATACCGTGTTTTACATCACAATTCTCTTTTACTTCTTTCTTGATATCTGTAGTGAAATTTACAAAGTTTTGTGTTAAGGGATTCTAGAAAAACTTGAAATATAAAATAAAACTAAACATATTTTTAATAGCTAACATAACAGTATTAAATTACATATTTCACTACATCACATATTTGTGATTACAAGCCGAAAACGAGCTATTTGTCACTGCGTATTGGTGTAATGTGTGACACATATAATAAACATATTTTTATAATGTAAAACGCATAAGTCTCTTACCTGTTTCATTGTTATAACCGGAATTACTCCAACGATTAGAAGAGTTTGTGTTATTTCTTGAATTTTCGTAAGTATTTATCTGAAACAACACAAAAATCATTATCACACTAGTTAAATTTTACAGAAGAATAAGTAAAAAATACTTAAACCGAAACATTAAATTGCGTTTAATCGATAAATTCTTTCAAAATAATAATATTTCATCTGCATTAGTCTTGACTGTATTATAAGAATTCGTTCAATTAATTAAAATCTTGAGCATCATCATACGAAAAAAATGACGTAATATGACAGCTTCTACATTATTGAACCTCAAAATACATCATATCAACCTCTCTAGTTATAAAATATTGAATTCTTTTTTTGTTAGAACGACACTGGTTAACTCAAAAATTTTTTAAAAAGTCTGTAAATTATTCTTCCCTCCGATTCCTATGATATAAAACATACAAAATATCCATTTCCACTCGTTCTTATTAACTATTAACACGCTCCTCCCCCATTGTTCCAGTTTGACCATGTTTCCGTACAATCGTTGCCTCTAAATTCCTTCAAAATATTATCTTAAAATAATTTAGAAGGATCGTTCAATAAAACTCCTTCCCTTAAAAACCTTCATAACTTTAAAAATGATAGATACCATAAGTAAAAAAGAAACTTACAAAAAATTCTGAAACATAATAAAATGCATAACTTGTATAAAATTTAATGAAATAAACGGATGTCCACTAAACATCCACTCCTAACCTCTCCAGTTTTCCCAACACTTCACGTGGGACCCTCTAATTTAAATTTGCCACGGTCCGATAGTTATAACGCGCCACGGCTTATTTGTTTCTTTTAAGCATTCCAATAGGGCAAATCAACTGAATTGTACCATTTATAATTATTGATAGCAATCCATGTATTTATATTTCACTGCTGTCAATCAACACCGTTAGGTTTATTAAAATTGATCTCTTTTTAATTTTCTATTATAAACATATTAGTTTACAATGGTTAAATTTTTAATAATATTAAAATTACAAATTTTCGAAAAAAGGTAGAACTAGAAAACAGTCGCAATTAATTTGCAACGTTTATAACTTGAAAATACAGTATATATTTTTCTTTCAAACAAACACTGCAAGTCAAGTAGTGAAAAGTTACTGCCTTGATTACAAAAGTATCGTTTATCTTCCCTCCCTCAACTGTGGGTGGTTGACTTCGCCGAATATAGGTCAGTTTACGTCAATGTACAGTACAGTACTACAAATAGTATAGACGCTTTACTTATTATTCCAACAATAATTTCAACAATGACTATAATAAGCGATGTTATAATTATAAGCTATTATTTACTTATGTATCGCCTAAAGCCAGATGCACACATGCGGCGCGGCAAGGAAAAGCGGTGTCGCAAATGCATTTTCGCCGCGGCAGCACAGCCACACAAGCGGCAATTCGCTTACATTTCAGCGCATGCGTTCAGTATTCAAGATGGCGAACGATACCGACACTGCCCCTATCCACGTGTTTACAAATTTTGTTTTATATGGCTTGCTTTATTTAGCTAGAAGATTTTGTCGAAGATTCGAATAAAGACTTTGAATTAGAGATACTTTTTTGGATCGACAAAAACTTGTGTACAAAATAGACTTATTCCTCGATTAAGATCTCTCGATAAATAATACTACTTCGAGTAAGATTCGGTTGTTTTGTTCTTTGAATTAAATTATATATAATAATTTGTGTAGAATTTTTTTAAAATTTGTTATCCTTTCCTCTTTATTTTGATTTTAGTTATCTGGGTTAACCGTCTCGAACTTTCCGTCATTAAAACACCATGCGATTGTATTTTCTCACGTGACTACCAGACGAACTGTTATTGGCTGATAGAAACGCGTCTTGGCGGCGGTCGCCGCAAAAGATAGAATTCAATCAACAAACCCAGGATTATATCACTAACCTTACTAGGCCTATATCTGTTATATTGAATCCTTTGTTAGACCTCGAGATGATCCAAAAAACTACAATTTTAATCAATTCTTTGTAAGTTATTCTCCCATCTCATTCCTACAGTCTAAATCTCATACGAATTATCCATTTTAATTATTCCTATTATCTATTTAATTGTATTTTTCTGTTCTTTGTAACTACAATAAGTTAAGATCTATCTGACAAAAAAATATAGCTTTTATATAATTGTGTACAATCAATAATACATTTAATATTTACAAACAACAAACCATTAAAAGCATATAATAATCCTTATACTTTTTTATGCTCTTATCTGGACAACTACTTTATTCTTTTAATAACAATATTGTAATATATATAAATAATTAAGCAATTTGTGTAAGATTTTGTAAAGTTCGATTGAAAAGTGCCAGATTTTTTACTTAACCCATAGAAAACGAATACTATCACCAAAATGACAAATTTTATAGAAAACTGCCAAAATAGCTTTTTCGTCCTGTCATCAAGAATGACGTGCCTATCTCGGTTCGACCATAAGTTATAAAGATATTCTTTCCTATTTCGTATTTTATATTTTAATATTTTAGTTGTTTTTCTCGTCCTTAAAGCAACATCAGAATCATAGAGATACCATACTCAAGCGCCGAATGAGACTGTTGAGATCTTTATACAGCTGTAGAGCACACTTATACAGTAGAACCTCGAAAACTCGGCTCTCGATAACCCGGCACTCCGTATAACTCGGCCACACCCTGGCAGGGCAAAAAGAATCCTTAGTTAATTAATTTTCATTGTAGACAGCTTTATAAAAGTATAAAAGCTCTCATAAAGTATTTTTTTAAAGTCTGTCTTATCAGGTGAATTACTGTACACAGTGTATTCATTAATTTTCATTGTAGTAAAGGCTCTATGCCTTCATAAAGGACGTACTTTTCCTTTGTTTAAGGGTATTTGGGCAGTTTATTCTCTGTTATATTCTCAAGTAAACAATACATACAAGTACAGTACAGAATTTTCTGAGGAAACGCTCGTACTTATTTTTTTAATCCCATTCCCGATAACCCGGCATTTTCACAAACTCAGCCACCCTTCGGTCCACATTAGGCCGAGTTTTCGAAACTCTACTGTACCAGCAAAAACGTCAAAGGAACCGTACCTTTACATATGACCTTTCGCGAGATATTGGGTAGTCCACAAAAATTACTCTGTGAGAAATTTGCCTATGCTTTTTTTCTATCTCCAAAATGTCCACTTTTTACTAACCTCTGTATTATTATCGTTTCCATATTCTAAAGTTTCTGATTTGATTCTTACACAAAACTTCTTATCTTCCGTCTTTAATTCTTTCTTGCAATTCTTTAATACAACAGCAAAATTTTCTTTACTTGGTTCAAAAGTGAAATCGAAATCTTTTGTATCTAACTCTTCTTTTACCTCCATTTTCTTAGTTTAAAATACTTTTGTACGTGAACACTGTATTTAATGAAATAAACCTTTTAAAACAGTCCAGTTGAAATTTATATTTGCATAAATAAATGAATAAAGTTGATATAATGCGAATCACTTACCTCTTGTAGTTGAATAAAGTATTATTAATCAATATTAATTAATAAATTGTTTTATTAAGGAAATTTAAAATTTAGTACAAGTAAGAAACAGACTCAAACTCAAGTGTTGTTAGTGTTATAGCACTAAACAAACGAGTAGAAGCTTTTACTAATTTTTCCAACTATCCAAATAAAATTTTATTGAAAAAGCAGTATTTTTAAAGAGATGTAACAATAAAATAAAAAAATGTGTTATAAATATCAAGTTACGTGCGATTCTACTTTTTAATCTGCTTTCCGTTTTATTTTCTACATTTAAAGAGGTAAAATGTTAATTTGAGTACATGTGTAAGGAACCAAGTCCGGCGTTATTTTTAGTTACTTTTATTTTTGCTTTTTATTCTATTTTTGTTTTGGGCTTATGTTTTGTTAGGACGAAGGTTTCCTCACCATTCACCTCAGAATCTTAAAAATAGAAGAGAAACCAACTCACCGACGAGAGAAAAGCGCCGTAGAAAAAACTCGCGCACACTTGCGCTCCCGAGCGGAAAAAAGTAAGTCCGCACCGAGAAAAGGGGGGAGACCCCACAAGCACAACTTAAGAACTTGCTAAACCTTAAAGAATAAAAACATCCCGAAAATTGTCAAAAAGAATAATGTAAAAGGTTAGCGAGTATTGTCGGAAAATAGGCTGCTAGACAAACAGAAAAAGTTTGTTAGCAAATAGTATGTAAATGAGGGAAGTGGTCTCACTCAAAATTGTGACGTCACCTCACAGTATAAAGACCTAACCTCAAGTGAAGATTACCGAGGTGAGCTTCTGTTAGCAGCGAGCATGGTGAGCTTCGTAGGAGCAAAGGAAAGAGGTGTTCGATAGGATAAAGTCGTTCCAAGGAGATTTTGAAGTTATTCGATTTCTGGATCGAAGATTAGAGAAAGTCTTGAGAGTTGAGGAGAAGGGTTCCTAGTATATTGAGGTGACGATTAGGACCTTTAATTCATAAGAATAATTGTATATAAGTTAAGTCTTTGAATTTTTGTCGAATTCCAAAAGAGAATAGAATAAGTTAAAAAATAATTGATTTGAGTTTTATCGGGTTGATTTTTATTGATTTACGTTCAATAAATTGTTATTTAATTTTTACAAATTTTTTTGTATATAGTTATTACTAGAATTTCATTAAATATTGGATTGTTTTTGACTAACTTTGTCATTATTTAATTAGGTGTACACTTAAAGTCCAGGCCTGGCACATTAACGCGAATCCACGTAAAGTACCCGTTAGGTAACGGCTATTTCCGACACAAAGTAGTGTCGATAATCGTTGTAAAAATAATATAGTACTTTACAAATGCCTCCTCTTCAATTCTTTCCGGATAATTGACAAAGTAGAGTCACAATCAGAGATATGAACCATCACGAATACTCCAATGAAGTTTCTCCTGCCTGATGATATAATTGAAAAATGGAAATATTAACAATTATGTTGGTTTGGCATATTGAAGTCTTATACTGTTCTTATTTTTTCGTATTTATGTCATTATATAGAAACGTAGAAGAAAATCGAGAATTTAGAAGTGACGGCACTGAATCCTATGCAGCTGTTGCTAATTTAATAGGATTTCCAGTGTGTTTAATACGTCAAGAAAAGTTTAATAAGAAAAAATCAAATGTACAAAGTCATTTTTTAAATAAACACGAAGCATTTGCAAACACTTATCGAGAGGGAGAAGAAAGAAATATGATAATAGGTCTTCAAAGGAAAACGAATTTAAGTATATGTACTGTACATTTTCAAATCAGATAAAATCAAGTAATAATACAACTACTGTACTGCTAGTTTTGTTGCCGCTCTAGAAATAGTGAAACAGGGAAAGCCATTTACGGATGGCGATTTTATGAAAGGTTGTTTCATTAAAATGTCCGAATATCTATTTTGCAATTTTAAAATTAAAACAAAAAGAATTGCTAAAATAAAAGACACGCCAATGTCCGCCAAGACTGAGAGACAAAACTGTTTCTACGGCAAGTTACGGATTTAAATTCAAAACCAGAATTTTATATTGCCTGTGACGAATCTTGCGATATGAATAATATTGCACATATTATAGTTATTTCTAGATATGTTAACTTTACGAACCTCAAAAAAAGTTACTCGATATACTGCTAACTTGCAGGACAAACTCGAGCTGAGAATATAGAATTACCAACTGTTTGAAAAGTAAAAGTATTGATATTAATAAAATAGTAGCAATTTATGTGGAAATATGCTACCAAAATTCAGATATAAAGTTCGAGTTTCTGAATATTAAGTATCGTTTAAGGAAACTTCGTGTCGAAGTTGAAAAAAGTGAATAGGAGAAATACGTGAAACAAAACTTGTCGATAATCGTGTCTTGTCTGATGCCAAAGATTGCATTTTAGCCGAAGTAACTTCTTTAAAATTATTTTCAAAATTCTTCGATAATGAAATATTAGAGAAAAATTTGTAGATTGAACAAATAGATACTTCCAGCAAAAAACCAAAATAGTGATGTTCTGTATAATTCTGCTTGACAATGTCATTATGTGAAGCAAAAACTACAACAAAATGCAAGATACGTGATGTTCGTCTGCCCAATATCACGTATCTCCACTCTGCATGCCCACTCTGCGTAGTTTATATATTAAGTTCTATAGAATTTTACAAAAATTCAATAGAATTTTACAAAAATTCAATAGAATTTAATTTATAAATAACACAGATTAGATATAGCTAACGTGATAACCATGTGCTTAATGTCCTATATATAGAATGCCCTGTAATTGATATAAAATAATATGATATGATATGTTTAAAAGTGTTAGAAGGCCGAACCTTACGGCATAGCCTTTGAAAAGGAAGGATGAAGAGTTTTAGAGGAAATGAGAAGAGGGAAGAAAAGTAAGGAATGATAGGAAAGTGTGAAGTGGAAACCATGGCGCCATCAAGTTCCATTTATTGAGTATACTTTAGTTACAACACATGGGACATAGTCCATAGATAACAGTATGGTCAAAATACATACAGAAAATAAGCCCGCACATGGTACTGCCTCTAGGGAGACAGGGAACGCGAGCAGTTGACAGCTATGCACGTGGGCAACCGACACAAGCTGCTGAAAATACCAACCCGGAATGTGCTGGAGTACAAAAGCACAAAGTTACACACGAAAGAAAAAAAATAAAAATAAATAAATAAATAAAATATAAATAAATAAATAAATAAATAATAATAATAATAAACACGAAAAGTCCCCTGACAGCCAACTCGGCCAGGTTACAATGGGGAGCAACAACGCAAAGAACCCCAGATGGCCAACTCGGCCATAATACAGGGGTATACAACACAACACAAGAGTCCCCTGATGGCCAACATGGCCAGGACCCAGTGGGAATGGTAACAAGACTGGAAATATAAAATAATAATAACTTTTATTATAAACCTTGTCAATAGTTTTTTCTCTTTTAATATTAACATTTGTAAATATTTGTTCGTAGAAAAGGGCTGGCAGAATTACAATTTAATAAAAAGTAAAACATTTGCAATGGAAATAGTTGTTCCTGGTGATTAGACATGGCAAGAAAAATTGGACTCGTATCCAGATGTTTTACTTTTTATTAAATATATAAATATATTACAATAAGTTACGTAAGTCTGTCCTTAAAGTTAATCATAAAACGTTAATAATAGCATTAATACACGTTTCATAAAAATTATCAAAAAATATATTTAATAAATTTTTAGTCATATTTTAATTAATTCCGCCGTTAAAACTTCAATTAATCTATCGCCATTCCTTAACATCTTACAAGTTTCGAATCAGAAATATTTAAAACAGACGATGGACTCGACGGCGACAAATACTCGGTCGCCATTTTGTCCACTTCATCGGCTTACCATAACTATCTTTTATCTTATTATTTACGAGATATTTTATGATATCGTAACTTACGATTAAAAGGTTTTGTCAATTCTGGTCCAGTTCACGCTTAATAAATTCTCGGAACAAATTTCCATAAAACTTACCTTTTTCGTATTAACCGTTAACTTTAAATTCGATACTCTCGAAGACGATGGCGTCGACGGCGAAGAGTTCGTCTGGATCCAAAAATAAGTTTAAAAGTTAGGACCGAAAATTTCATAAAATTTAAAAATATTAATTCATTTCGAAGAGCATTTAACATTAATATTTACTCAGTCGGAGGACTTTTTGAATATTGGATTTTTCTTAATTTCTCTTAATAAAATCTGTTTACTAGTTTAGTTTTTTATACTGTACTCAATGTAATGCTTAAAAAAATATAATGCAGCTGGAAAACGAAAAGAATTTCTTTAAAATATTTTACATTTTTCAATTTGTATCGATAAACTATTTCGTGATTATTGGTATTCGGACCGAATTTCAAAGTCTTGTTGTCGAGATTAATTACGTTTAAATCGCATAATTCCAAAACAAATTCGCTTCTTTTCCTGTATATCCGTTTGTTTTTAACCCGGATAATTCTTTTCATTCCTGGAAATTTCGCAAATTCTTTAAAAGGCATTTTTTTTTAATTTTGTGTTAAGATTGAAGAAATTTTGCATATAGAAAGTATAATTAAGCAACTCTCGCGACAAACTTCATGACGTCATCAAGAGTAGACCGTTGATGTACTGGTACACACTGATGTACAGTACCGTGTACTGCTACTTGAATCACATTCGCGCCTATAAAATATGCGAAATTGATTTTAAAAATGTTTTGACATATAATTCGCGAATTTCCATCGAAATTAGAAGGTGTTGATGTCAGAATGATCAGTCATTTTAAAACAAGGACTGATAGGTGTGGTCTCGGTCAAATATCAGTCTATGAAAATAATCGAAAACCTTTATTAAGCAACTGTAATTGCAGGTGATAAATTATAACTTTACTTGGACATAGCAGCTGTTAATTCCGGCATCAAGCCGATAGCCCGATAGTTCGGCAGTTCGTTTGGCTTCCACAAATACATATTGATTATTGACAATCTGTGACATGCAAAGCAAACATAACAAGCAAAAATACAAAAAACTAATATGCGGGCTTAGAATTAATAAATACAAATGTACTCTGACAGCTTATGTGTTAAACTGAGCACAGTTGAATTTTTTATTATCTGCAGGGTAGAGATCTCAACTTGCGACATTAAACTTATGCTACTGTTTGCTAAAAGATCTTTTAGAACGAAAGTGCATAATAAATGTAGAATCTACTGTGTATATTTGCTCTTTCGAGTCAATTCATACGAAGCCAACCGGTGGTATATTGGATAAAACAACCGAACATTGACAGTTTGTCTCGGGTTTGCACTTCATTAACCCATTCAACGGGTATCCGTCTGTCCCGTAACCGTTTGATAACGGACACTAGAGGCGCCCCTATCGTGTGTCATATTTCAAACATTTAAATTAACAATATTATTCATTTGGCCAATAAATTATTATTTGGTCAATATAACAAGATAAATAATTCAGTATATTTGTAATAGGAATTTATTATTTCAGGGTCTTATATCTCTCGAAGAGTCGGGAGTGGGGGTATGGTTCCTTTGACTTTATTGTTAGTACAGGGGTCTAATGTTTGGGGAGTCGCCACCTCTTCATTCGGGGAGTAAATCTTACCATTCGGATGTTAACGGAGCTGTAGAGCATATTGATAGGAACAAAAAAGTAGCTCTAAGTTTCGAGCTACTAGTTTCTTAGAAAAGAGAAAATCACATTTCGTTAGTCTATCAATAGAATAAACACAAAATTAACATTATTCCACCATATTGTAAAATTAAATATTAACAATAAATTAAGAAATAAATAGAAATTGAAATGTAATTATTGTAGTTTGTGTATTATTATTAGTTTTTCAATAAAACTCAGAGTATTAAATTAGCAACGATTTATTTTTTTATCGAAGATATCTATTTTAGGTTAAACTAAAATAGAATCAGACAAAATATTGTATTTTTGACTGTATTCTTTTCTAAGCAATAATGTATTATATCAATTTTTCTTTATACTCTTTTAAAAGGTCAATTTGTTTTAAATGTTTCTTCCAAAAAATTGATGAGACTTCATCGTTTAAATCCAAAGAAGTTAACCGACGTTTTTTTCTGGATTGCATTTTATCAGTGACAAAAACTTCTGAGTGTTAACAATCCACGAAACCTTTTTGTACAAGTGTTATGTCCTTAACCAACTCGGGGCATGGTCCGACGTTTGCCCCGGGGCCCTCAAAATTGCGCCCGGAGAATATAATGCCCGACGTCGAAAGGCTCATCACTGGCTTGAGCGACACCCGCAAGCAGTACTACAGGTGGAAAGCCGTCTTCAGGATTGTTTCGTCAACAGGACGAAACAATCCTGAAGTTTTTTTGTATAAGGGCCCCAGTTGTCACTGCGGGCCCTTATACAAAAAAACTAGGAAATGGCTGGCGGACGAGCACATCATAGTCCTCAAAGCTAATAAAAATAAATCTCTCGTTTTATTAAAGGAAGCCACCTACAGGTCTCTCATGCAACGGTATATCGACGACAGTGACTGCGAACCAATCGATCCCGGCTATATAGATAAGCTACAGTCTCGTGTTTCTAGATTTACCCGCACTTCCTTTACCATAAAAATGGGGGTTGGGCAAGGCGGTCGTCGTCTCTCCCGACATCCCGAGGCTGTTCGCATTCGCCAAAACGCACAAATAGACTCCTTCACTTAGGCCAGTCTTGGATGAAGCTAGGTCACAAACGAGGCTGCTCGAAAAAGCCGTTCACAGCATCGCCGCAGAGCGTTTGAAGGGTTATAAGTTTTTTACCACCAATTCCGCTGCTTTTGTTCAGTTGTTACGGCGGGTCGATGTAGGCGACGACCCGCACATCACGGTCTTGGATTTCGTGTCCCTTATACCTTCCATACGTCTGCAGCCATGCTTCTGTGCGCTTAGGGACCTTCTACTTCGTGAGAATGATGCGCTCCGGCACCGTCAGCAGATATAAGAGCTGGCACATCTAATGTGCTACACCTCGGTTTTCCAGTTCAACAACGCCACTTATTTACAAAGACGAGGTACGCCCTTGGGCAGCCCGTTTTCGGGGGACCTTTGCGAGCTAGTGGTGCAACAGTTGGAGGAGAGGATGTTGCCCAAATTCTTATTATACATTAGTCTATACCAAAGATACGTGGACGACATCTTTATACTTTGGAAAAACCACACCGCATCTCGACGATTTTTTGTCGTGCATGAACGACAATGCTTACGGCCTCACCCACAGCTTAGATCAGGTTAGAAACTCGAGTGCACATTTTCTAGATGTTAACATATGTCTCAACCCGATAATAACGTTAGGCGCATCAATTCCTCTAATCAATAAAAATTTGAGAAATTTTCGACACATAATTTGTTATATGTCCCTTTTCATACAGTTTGTAGGAAGAGAAAAAGCTCTAGTTTTCTGTGTTTTGTTTCTTTCACTCTGTTTATGGATGTTTATAATAAGAAACGTACCTGAACATAATTTGCCAATATGTAGTTCTTATCTTAATTAATCAGTTACTTTTCCGGTTGTTATAACAGAAAGAAACTATAACGAAATGCAAAAGATGAGTCCCAGATTTTTACACTTTAGGATTTAGAGCACTTTGAAATGCCGAAAAACGCAAAAAAAATTCGGGGGTAACTTCTGTATGTATAGATGTTAGTGTGTGTGTGAGAGAGGGGTTCGCACGATTTTGTTTATGAATAATAACTCCTAAGATTTTTGTTAGAAATTTCTGAAATTTTGCAGGGTAAATTGTTTAGAAATAAACATTAATTAATTAATTAATTAATTGTTTGATTGAATATCGATTGTGGTGCACCTGTCCCGTTCTACAGCCTAGAAATACATGTTAATCTGTCTGATGTTTACGTTATTAAAGTTCGGTAACGACAGAAATTAAGTTAATCCAAGATGACGATGCGTGAAATACAGATCCCATTGGTGCTTTTCATATCGAACACGACTCCTGTGGGGTTCCGTATTACCCACAAATTCAAACGATGTAATAGTGTTTGTAAAAGTGTAAAAGAGGTATTGAGTATGGTAAGGTACAAGAAAATAGGGACGAAGAAAGCTGCAAAATTTTATCAGGTGCCAAAATAACTTTCCGAACATTCTCTTTGCAAGCAGACATTCAGCTGGTATGTTCCTAAACTAGTGATTCCTAAAGTTTTTCGATCCACCTCCCCCTGTAATCCATAAAGTTATACCCAACGCCCCATGCCCATTTCTTTTATGAGAAAGGCTTCGAAATATTGTTATCGAAACTTATTGTAAGAAACTCACACTTTGTGTCCTTACTGTAATTGTTCTCCGAATCTGAAAAATATTAAAGGCAATTTTCCTCACACGAGTTTTAAAAGAAAGAAAGAGATTGTCAATGACCCCTACGGTCACCCAACCTCCACTCTCCCTGTCGCCTGCTTTTTTCTTTTCACTTTTCTAGATTTCCCAGTCATAATTGGAGAAGTTCTGCGCTTAAAAATGAGGTCACCCTGACACAGGGCACGTCCCTGGATTCTTCCTGGTAATACTTATTGCCCGGGTAGAAGAGAGACAGTGTAGCCGCCAAAATTCCTAAACTTCCGACGCACATGGAAGAAAAAATGGAAAGAAATTCAAAAACAAAAAGAAATATCGCTTATTTAAAAATAATTGTGAAAACATTAACAGGTATATTATATTTAATTTTTTATGTACACACATTCTTTTTCTATCTCCATTCGATAGGAAAATTCGATATTAAAATAAACCAGCAACGAGTTATGCAACTTTCTCGAAAACATATAAAATTTTGATAATTTTAAGGGTAGGAATGTGTTTTATATAAAAAATTACAATTGCTAATAACGAGTACAAACGTCATTAAATCCCGACCCAAATGCAGATACATACGATACCCATTAACTCTCAAACCCGTCGATCTTTAACCATCGAAATTTAATAGCATAAATGCACCTAATAGAAGTAAGAAGTTCGAGGGAGAGGTGTATGAATAAAATAGCTGAAGATCTAAGTAAAAGGATTGACGATGTAATATCGGCATTTGCCAGATGAGATGGGTTCTAGAAACATTTCTTTACCATATATCACGTGGGTTTTGTTGCTACAAACTATCACGTGAGTTGGTGACGTGCTACCCTTGGACATTCTTCTATTATTAACCTTGAGTGTGCTTGCCTTTCTTAACTGCTACAACACGAACAATAGCACTGAGTGAGTTTATTTCTCTGTCTTTGTTACTCGTTCTAAAATTCGAGTAAAATTAATATGGATATTTACTAATTGATCTTGATTGAAGCTACATATTCAACTAGGACAGGTAAGTGTTTCCTATTATATAAATTTTATTTATTTTTTTAAACGAATGTAAGTTCAAACTGGACGGTTTAAAATCTTTCATATAAAACAGATTGTTGACATACGACATTATCCTAAATTAAGAAAATGAAGATAAAAGTAGAACCAGAAAATGAATATTCAGAATTTACATTTAACCGAGGTGATGAAAAGTTTCAAGTCTTGAAGAATTGCAAGAAAGAATTTAATACGGATAACAAAAAGTTATGTAGAAGAATTAAATCAGAACCTTCAGAACATAAAAATATACAGGTGAGTAAAATGTACTTTTGTATACGACTCTAGTGTTGTTTTAAAGCGTCACTTGCAAACTTTCTACGTTTATATTACTCCTTCCAAAATTTTAAAATAAACTTCGTCTACTTAAATTCATGACTACGAGGGAAAATATTACGATTATAAACTATCAAATTAGTGAGACAGTGTCTCCAGGTAATTAGTGTAATAAGTAATTAGTGAGACAGTGTCTCCAGGACTATTTATTAGATTCAGATTTATTTAATTTTCGTTACTATTTATTGGTTATCATTTGCAGCAGTTACCTGACTTCACTTGTAATATTAATTGGGCTAAAATTTTTAAATTTTAAATCTGTAGAATGTCTCTGTAGACAGTCTGCTCGTCTGTCCTTTTTTAACCTCGAGAACAGTTATGTAGGGGAAAATCGAAAAGTTATCAAACGGAGGGTCGATTAACTGTAGTCACGTGATTTTTAACTAAAAATATGATTAAAAATTGCAGCCAATATTAACGATTTTTAAACCTGGATTACTATAAATAATTATAAATAATAGAATTAATTGAGTTGATTAATTAAATAATATAATTGAGTTGATTATCTTATATCTTATTGGAATCATTAAAAGACACAAATCAACAGCGGCGCGTTATAAGTTTATGGGACCATGGCAAATTTCAATTAGTTGACCACGTGTGAAGTGTTAACTTCAGACATTTCCCTTCGGGAAGTGAAGGGGAAGGAAGGAGTTGAACTTTAGTAAACGTTCGTTTATTTCGTTAAATTTTGTACAGTTTATGCATTTTATTGTATGGTTTGTTTCTAATTACTGTATTTATCCTTCGTAAAGTTATGAAGGTTTTTAAAAAGGATCGAGTCTTGTTGGACTTCCGAAGACAGGAGAAGGGGTTACAGAAACTTGGAGAAACTGGAACAATGGGAAAGGGAAAGTAAAAATGTGAAAAAAATGCGGAGATAATTTATGAACAGCTCCTAAATGTCACATTCATTGTAAGCCAGAGCTGAACTTATTCTAATTACAAATAACAAAAAATGCGATTAAATAGTTAATAAGAACGAGTCGAAATGAATATTTTATATGTTTTATATCATATGAATCGGGTTGGAGACTAATTTAATAAGAATTTATTCAAATATATTGTATTTTGAAACCTTTTGAATGAATAAATGCAATCTTAATAGAGAAAGAATTTAATATTTTATATCTAGAGAGAGTGAGATGATGTATTTAACGTTTAATTAATAAATTAGAAATTGTCATTTTGACCTATTCATTTGGAATGAAGATGCTCCAGATTTTAATCAAGTAAACGAATTTTTAGAATAAAACAATCACAGGTAATAGAGATCAAATATGATTATTTTGAAGGAATTTATCGATCAAACGGTATTTTCTATTTCTGTTTAAATATTTTTTGATTTATTCTTTTGTAAAATTATACACAATTCTGTGATAATGTAGCATAATTTTTGTATCGTTTCAGATAAGTACTTATGAAAATTTAAATTCAAGAAATAACACAAACAATTCTAATATTTGGAGTATTTCTGGTTTTAATAGTGAAATCGGTAAGAGGCTTTGTACTTTTAACACTATATAAATATGTTTATAGTTATTAGAAGAACAGTTAAAGCGTAAATATAAATAAATTCATATTTATATAAATGTGGGCCCGCGGATTTTTGGGCGCGAACTCGCTTAAAAAACTGTTAAAAATTAGTTTTTTCGAAAGTTGATTGTAAACATCCGCCGACAGAGAAAACTCTCCGTGCAGAGTATCGGATCGGATGTCATCGTTTGTATCAACAATCCAGTGAGAAAGTTGACACTTAGGTGTCAAAGAATGCAAGTCATCGTCAACAAAGGACGATCTCGTTACCCCTTTCCCTCAATAATGCTATAAAATCGACAGCCACCGGAAGCTCGAGTCGATCGACACAGGATGTTATTCTTGAGCTAGTGTCCATTTCAGTCTTCCGTTCGATGAAGTCTGAGAACACGACGATAGATGACATTGAAAACTTTACTTCTATAACCGAACTGATCGTCGCATATAGCTCTCCATCCACACATAGAGGCTATTATGAACGGCCTGAGAACTCTCTCTCTCCGGCAATAGGCATGGCTGCTATAGAGTAGCCAAGTTGTATTAAGAATTATTGTAAACGCATTTAATTCTATATTACCTATATATATATAAATGTGTTTAGCTTTGTATATCCTCTTATATTTTGTAGTTAGTTATATTTATTAAACCTTTATTTTGTTATGTTACCCTGTCCTCTGTTTTCTTTGAAGACCCGGAAACCTGTCAACTTACTCCTCGACCTTCCCACTCGCTTTTGCCCTCCTATCACCACCCAACGACACCGAGGTCGGGTTTTAACAACCCGTGCCGATTAATTTGTTAACAGGACACATCCCCTATAGCGCCCGGCATATCTCACATAAATATTAAGTTAATAGTCATGACCGAAGAGTCGGCATAAGTCGGCGATGCGTACGTCAGGACTGACACCGTTGTTGCTTTATGTGAGCGTTTTGCTGTTTCTCGAGCGGTCGGATTCGGGATGGAAGATATTCGAGAGACAGCGTGTTTTGTAGGAATGTGCTCATCTACTATGTAAACTATTTACAAATAGATATACATAGGATAAAGTATAGGATTCCGTCATAGCTTCTATGTGGCGTAACATAATTGATAAAGCTTTATAAAGCTTAAAAGGTACTATCGTAACTGGTCCCTAGCCGAGAGAGACAGTTTACATATGCTAAATACCTTGATTGGTCGAATGTTGATTGATGTCCGGATGTCGTGGATCGTCTTGACGAACGTGGGGAGAGGTCTACGCTGAGTCAAGGAAAGTAAGACAAAAGATAGTTTTGGTCTGAATCTAGGAACTTTTAGTCATGACCCATCATCTCTTTTTACTTTACAGTATATTCTTTGATGATAAATTCAAAATCACAATGTTTAATACACACAACACTGATTTTAGAAGGAAAAAGTCATTACGTGGTATAGCTTTAATCCATTTATTAATCATTTCTGGACTTCGGGAAAAAGAAGAACTGTTGTGTACTCTGTAGATGAGTAATTGCGTTTACTGCCAGTCACACAGCAGCTTTGAGACATCTATTAAGTAAATATCTATATTTAAATTCTTTTTACTTATAATGTAAAATAATTAGTAACCTATTCTTACCCATATCTACTACAGACAATCTAATATGTTAGTAACTTTTGTTATATACTTTTTTTTACAATTTTATTCTAATTAAACTAGTTTATTTATTTCACTTAAAATGATAAGAAATTATTAATATTTAATAAATGGAGCAATTTAGATAACTTGTTCGAATCAAGGATTGTACTGTACCAATTGTCCAAGTCTTATATTGAATTGCCAACAGGAAAATCTTATCATTATTTATAATATCCAATACATAGGCCTATATCAGATTGGATTCATTAAGGAACAAATATAATGTATAACTAAAATGTTTTTCTTATAAAAGGCTTTATTAGTGAATTTATAAGTGTACATTTTTTTTTTCAAATTTCACCCCAAACATCTACGACGAAGACAATACGAGGTCAGTTAAGTGTTATGACACGTAACTATTATAAGGCCTCTTTCTTTTTGGTATTAAATTTTTGATAGTTTAAAGTCGAGGAGCGAAGAGAAAGCGTTTTGACATTTTAAATTATTAGAACTTAAATCAGTTTTATTTATTTATTTGTTATTTAATTGTTTGCTTAAAATTTTTAAAACAAAATCACTTTGTAAATTCTAATACAGATTGTAAGAAAGAAGAAATAAAAGAGGAGAAATGTGACATTAAACTAGGCATAAAATCAGAATGTAAGGTTGTTTTAAAAAGATTGAATTTTAAAGTAAAAACTGATGATTGTAAACGAGTTCATCTCCCATATAAATACGAAGATTTAAAGGTAAGTGACACAAACTTCCATATATTTTACAGGCATTATAAGTAAAATTTGCATATTATTTTTTGTTTATTATTAAAACGGAAGACAACTATAAACAATTTTATACAATATTACTGTAAATTTAGGTGTATTTTCTATTAAACAACGGCGTTAATTTTATGGTTTAATTCACTTTTTTTTCACGATAAAGCTTTCACCATTAGCTTTACTAACAATATATCATGATTTCAGTTCGTTCCGTGACCGATAAATCAATTCCCATTGTTTATCAAGCTATGCACGTATAGTCTAAAACAGTGTTTCTCAACTTCTAACAAATTGTCGCCCCCTTCAATAAAACCGTTACGTGGTATCGCCCCATTCACTACAAAATTTCGATGCCGAGGGCCAAGGCTAATGCCAAATTCGTACTGCATTGAATAGACTAGTGACTAGTATAATGTTATTTGTTAAATTATTGTACGATATAACGAATAAAATATCTAATTAATCTTAATATAATGTTTTACTATATCGCCCAGAAAATTGTTTTTTGCCCCCAAAATATAAATTGTTACAAATCGCCTCCTCAACATGGAATAACGCCCACATGGAGGTAATATCGCCCCCGATGAGAAACACTGGTGTAACATGTGCATTTTATCGCGTTGCACGTGTATAGTCTCGAATGGAGTTCTTGTATCTTCATACAAGGAATATCCCAGATTAAAACAATTACACCTCATCTCAAATGTGCAATGGCAGATTCATACGTCACTAGGCTCAACGGATTTTAACATGAAACCCCAAATATTTATTTGCGGAACTCTAGGGTTCGGAGGAACACAAGTTGGGAACCCCTGGTTTAATATGTTGCCCAGTGGATGAAATCACTTCACACTATGGGTTCGTGCCTGGTCAATGGGCTGTCCAAGTGGTGTTTTCGGTTTTATTCACGTTTTTAACACTGAAATAGATGCCAGTTTTTCTAATGAAGCACTCTTGGGATGATCCCCCTTTAGCAGATTGCTCACATGCCGCATTGCCGTATACAACCGTAAACCAAATTGAAAAGAAAAATAAATAATTTCTACAATACATGTAAGAAATAATTTAGTTTTAAGGCAATTTTCTAGTACAAAACAACACATTTATGATATACATAATTATTTTAATGTATAACAGTTTTTTTGGTCTTATTTGTATATTTTTTAGCCTGTCAAGAACGAATTCTTCATTCCCGACAGAAATTCTAACAGGGATGAACCGAACGTACAAAGTAAGTAACACGTTACAAGTTCATTTATTAAATGTTCGTTTTAAGATCAGAATTTTGTATATAATATTAGCGCTTTGCGACATTTGTAATTTCGGTGGAGCCATGGTCGATTTTTAACCATAACAATTTAATAGTATCAATCTCTTTAATAAATAAACCTCCCTGAAAACCTGGATATGTCGGGCCACGTCCTTCACTACCCAGCCGCCATTGGTAGGCATAGCAGATCCTATAATAGACTTGCTAAAAGAAGCACTCTTAGTGCCCACACGGCGGAAAGAGTTAAAAGAAAAACATGTAGGACATAGCAATTACCTGTATGGAATGTAGTAGTGTTTTGCCCTCGTACATTATGCTTTTCCTGTTAGCAATATAATGGTAAGACATATAGATAAGGCAGTGTTTTTCAACCGGGGTGCCACTGCGCCACGATTGGGGTGTCGCAACGTTTAAGGCCTTTAGTCATTTTCTTGGAAATTTACTTAAGTGTAGTTCAAGATAACTCATTGTCAGTTCTATTTTACTACGAAATATCTAGTAAGCAAAGAAACGATGACTAATCGCATGTTAATATAATGTTCAACGCTACGTGTACGCACGACTTGTCACGAGTTCGCCCAAACCACATTACTTGGCCTTCACATTCGCAGTCCCATTACCAGGCCAACCAGCAGAGAAGAACGACGTGGACACTTGTGTCTTGTATATACTTTAAAAAGCGTTGCATTGCACTTTGAAAAGCGTGCACAATGTAGATGCATATTACAGTACTCTCATAGTATTCAAAAGCAATTATGACAAATAAACAATTTATTATCATTTTTTTAATTTAAATTTTTTAAATTGATATGAAAAAGATAAGAAAAAAGTAATGAAATACTTATTTTATATATGCATCAAAATAGTATAAAAAAACGTAACAAAAATTTGTGAATGATCGTCTCTTTAATCCGACTTATTCTTTCGATAAACTATCTTACAGTATCAGGTTAATGTCGGATTAAAAGAATAAGTCGGATTAAAGAGACAGCCATTCACGAACGAATATACAGCTATAACCAGTAAATTTAACAAAGATTGTTTATCAATAAAATAATATAAAATGATGATATATTTTATAATAAAACTAAATTTAAAAAACAATAGAGAGACTATTATTTTACATGTAGGTATTTCGACAAAATTCTATGAACTTAAATTTTCATTTTGAACACGTAGAAACGCGGTTTTTTTGCATTAAAATGCTACTTCAAATTGTCTATTTTTAAAAGTTTTCTTCCCGGGGAGGAAACTCCCTCCCCGGACCCCACCCCAGCGTTGCGCGTAATATTTGTTTTCGCAAAAAATGTATCTGGCCCATCAGCCCCTTTATTCAGATCCGCCGTTGGTCAAGGGTGTCACGACTTTTTATTTTTCAATCAGGAATGCCACTCAATGAAAAAGTTTGAAAAACACTGAGATAAGGGAAGACAGTAGGAATTTATAAGTCTATAATTTTTCCATAAACGCAATATTTCATAAATAATTCCATAAACGCAATACAATCTGTTGAAAAATTTTTAAAAATTTATGTACATAAAAACCATTAATCTAGCATTTTTACATTTTTTTTTTAATTTAAACAAGTCATACAAAGTCTTTCGGACGATAAGGCTATCAACTTCGATCATGTGCCATCACAACCCATACAAAACGGATCACTTTTCAAATATTAATAGTAGACCGGTATTAATAAGTAGTCGTTGAGCATCCTCTCTTCCGGTAGGTTTGGTCGAATTAACTTCGACTCCTATCTGCAAGAACTTCTCTCTCTATCGGACCTGCTGTATGGTGGCATTCGAATAGGAAAATTATATTGTATAAGGTTACCGGGCTGAAAAGAATTTGATTTAAAGTTGTTTTCGAGGATGCTGTGTTTAAATATTTGGTCTATTATTCGAGAAATGTAATTGATTGGCAGATTACCGTTCGATATTCAACTGTGAACGACACAATTTCTTTGAGTTAACATTAAGAAAAAAATATGATATCTTATAAACTAAAAATATATTTTAAACTTTTCGACTACTTTAAATTGTGCCATTTCGTACCGTCCAAGTATGGCGATAAACGTGATATTGGTAGGCTGAAATAACCAAATCTTTTATATCATTTTTGTTTTAATATTTGTAATATTATAGTATTTAATTTATATAACTACAGTGGTTTAAGGTTTATCATATCAAGTTACCAATCTAATACATTTTTTAAAATTATTTATTTCTCTATTGTACACAATTTTAAAAAATTTTTAAATGTCTTAGACTGGCTACTCAAAGACATTTTACATTTCAATTTCTAGTTTAAATCCGCCTATACAATGGCTGCCCAATGAAATTTTCACATTTTTTAACTGAAGGACCTCAGCCAACAAATGTAAAAATTTTGTGCCGTCATATTTATGAACGATCGCAATGCAGGCTGTTATATGCACCAATTAGGAAAATAAATGTACAGAACATAATGAAGGAATGTTTGTCTTTTAAATTAATCACAAGAATTATTACAAAAATTTATCACAAGTATTAAATTATGAAACTTATTTGCAAATCCAATAAAGGCTCAATTCAGCAGTAATCGATTGTACAAAGTAACACGATTTATTTTCAGAAACAAAAATTAAGCTATTAACTTTATATTATATCAATAATTATTAAGCTATAAAATTGGTAATTAATGATATAAAATATAAAAAAACGTTGTAAATAGATAACGAATATTGTGTTTTAATTTAAAGTAAATTAAATACTTATAGTATTTAACTTTTTAATTTCAGTTAAGGAGTACGAAAAGAGTGAAGAATATGATATTCAGCACAATTCGAAAACACAAAAGAAGAATAAGTGTAATGCAAACAAGACGAAATTCGTCCCTACAAGTAGAAAATACAACAACAAAATCCAAGGAAAGATTAAAAGGAAATATTTCAGAATAACGCGTTCATCTCATTCTAAACAAAATCACAAATGCGATTTATGTAAACAGACTTTTGTAAACAAGGAAATACTACAAGCGCATTTGAACTTTCATATCGGAGAAAAACCATTTTGCTGCACAACCTGCAATCAAAAATTTTCCTGGCAATTTCTATTGAAAAAACACATGAAAGAACACATCACCGAAAAACAAAGGAAAATGGATCGTACAAAAGTTCGTTCGCTGTCATTATCAAAAAATCGTAAAGAATCTACACAGAAACCCATTCGATGTGACATTTCCGATAAGCTACATAATACAAAGAGCCAATTGGAGAGGCATAACAGAACACTACAACCAGTATCTCATTGCTGTAAGATATGTAAAAAAGAATTTCAAACGAGACCTTCATTGAGACAACACCAACGTACTCATAGTGAAGTTCGACCTTTCAAATGCGGTATATGTGATAAGGGCTTTAAAACGAAAGCCCATTTAAAAAGGCATCGTGAAACTCACAGTGATAAATGTAAGTATTCTTGTCAGGTGTGTAACAAAAGTTTTAAAACAAAATGCTCTTTGACGAATCATAAAATCACTCATAATAAAAACTTAAATTATTCTTGTCAGATATGTAACAGAAGTTTTAAATCACAGCTGCGTTTAAAAGAGCACGTTGTTATACATACCGATGAACGCAAGTACTATTGTCAGACATGTAACAAGCATTTTAAAACAAAACGCTATTTGAGACGACATGAAAGAACTCACGAAGATAGAAGTGATAAGTATTTTTGTAACTTATGTAAAACAGCATTTAAATCCAGATATAGTTTCGTTAAACATCGCTTTGTTCAACATAAAAATATGTTTGTTTGCGGATATTGTAATAAGTCATTCAAAACTAAAAATATGCTTAAAGCTCATTCGAAAACTCATATTGAAAAATGTAATATCTGTAAAAAGGAGTTATTGTCTAAAACCTCTTTAATCTGTCATCAGAGAACTCATTATGACGTAAAACCGTATCTTTGTAAGGTGTGTAGCAGACGTTTTATATCAAATTCTGAGTTGAAACGTCACCAAAGCACTCACAATAAAGACAATCTTCGTTACGTTTGTGAGATATGTAAGAAGGGTTTTTACGATAAATCTCGCTTCTTAAGGCACCAACCTGTTCATGAAAAGAAAGAGCATCTTTGCATCTATTGTAAAGGCAGATTTAAAACAGAAATTAAACTGAAACTGCATTTACAGTTTTCTTGTTTAGAAATACACTCCAAACAATTACCTTACCAATGTAATGTCTGTAAACGGACTTACGTAAATAGTTATGATTTGGAGCAACATCTACTCGCTTACAAGGATCAAATACACTTCTGTTGCGACGTTTGTAAGAGGAAATTTACGTCAAAAGTCGAATTCGAAACTCATCATAAAACTGCTCATCCGCCGGGAGGAAAATATAAATGCGAAATTTGCAGTAAGACATTTCGGACACAGACTTATTTAAATAGACATATGAAAATTAATACCGATTCAGGCGTTAAGAAATGTGATGTTTGTGGTAAGAAATTCTGTTCGTTTATTACTTTAAAACTTCACGTGCAAAGCCATCTTTTAGAATAGAATTTTCTGTGTGAAATACGTACTTTTTTTACTAACATACGAAAATGTATTATACAGGACAATAGGTTTAAATGTTTAGATTTTTCAGATTGCTTCTGCGGCTGTTATTTCGTTGGTAATAATTGCCTGCAATTTGAAAAAACTGTTGATGTATTTTCCATTGTTCTTCTGTATGTCTGTACTTGCTTAATCTCGAGAACCGAAAAAAATAGATAGAAGTCGTCACAAGATAGACTTTGGGCTGGAGGCCCAGGTTAACCTATGGACAGTTTCAGATTGCAACGAAAGTCACGTTATTTCAATTAACAGTTTCCTCTGAAAATAGATAGATATATGACGGCACGACTATATTGCTCGCAAGAAAGTACAGGGGTAATCCCCTACTAATTTGAAATGGAAAATAGAATGTTTAAAATTAAATAAATTAAAAATATGATTAAAAATGCAGCACAGCGTAGTGATGATTTTTGCAGTGAAAAGTTTTGTTTTACACGTAAAAAGCCACGTGAAAAATACAAGGGTAGGCTGAAAAGTAATGCACACATGCTTGTAGAACAGGAACAAAAACAAATATCAAGATCGGGCAAAAAGTAAATTAAAGTACAATCCTTAAGCTGAATTTCTAGACAATTTTATTTATTTATTAACATTAATAATATAAATGTCATTTTTTAAATAAAATCTCTTAACAGCCAAGAAACTTACGCAACTCGTTGTTAGGTTTTTTTCTTATATAATACATATTTTTTATTTAATACAGAATACACCTAAATTCAAAGCATAATATTATATTAGTTACATTGAGCAATGTTTTCAAACTAAGTTAATATTAAAATTTCACTGCAAAATATTTCGAAATTTGAATTACTTATTATTACCTGTTCATTGTCATCTGGAAAATGAACAACTTCTTTATAATCTTCAATCTTTAATTTTTTCAAATCTCTTTTACTGCTTCTTTCTTAATATCTGTAGTGGAATTTACAAAGTTTTTGTGTTAAAGGATTCTAAAAAACACTAGAAATATAAAATAAAACCAATAATTTTATAATTAATAATTATTTAATTATTAATTATAAAATTATTTTGACTACTTTGAATTGTGCCATTTCCAGTGGCGTGCCGTGGCATTTGATGATAGGGAAACCGTGTTTCTATAAGAAGCCGACTTCCAGGGGCTTAGTTTATTCTTTCTTTAAACGTATTTTTAATAGATTATTTATCTGATGTACTTAATAAATAAACAAGTTCAATATAATTACCTCTGTTATTAGATCCAATATATTCCATATGCCCTCTAAATGCCAATTCTTGCTTTGATAAAAACATATAACATCTATTTATTTAGATATAATATATCTATTAACCGTAACTATCTCGTTATAATTTTCAATATTTATTTTATATTATTTACTAATGTTAAATTCTATTCCGCTTCGATTTCCAAATTGCTTCAAATACGAAAGAATCGACGATTTTTCGTGTCTTTTGCCAGCTAAATTGTCAAAGCCATTCTTATTCCACACACTAATTTCATTTGAAAATAGTAGGCAAGCCAACAAAACAATTTTTGCATTTTTATGCATTTACAGAGCCATTTTATCGTGAAAATGTCGAACAAATTTTTTTATTGAAGCGTTTATATTTAACTTAGGCATTGGCCTTTCTCTTTTAATAATGTTTTCTTTTTCATTATATGATCTCGAGCCAAAACTTTTTTAAAATAAATTTTCAATATCGCAATTACATTCCGAATCGCTAGCCACGATATAAGGGCTAAAATTAAAAATAAAATTATAAAAACTTACTTGGTGAAATAAAATGTGTGGTGGATATACATACCTGGTACAAAACATTCTTCAATTGTATGAATATACTTTTAAAGAAAATCATTATTAAATATAGCTTTGTAATGAAACGTACATAAAAATAACATAAAATATTCTTTACTCTTTAAATCTTAATCACTTAGTCAAATAGCTCCCTACGAGTGGAATCAGAGACGGTCCTGCTAAATGTGCGGTGCGTACATGCACGTGGGCTGCCAAATCGCGAAGGTACCGATACCGATCAATTTTAAATGCTCTTTTGTCACCAAACCAGACAAGAACCATAGCAAAATTGGTTGACATTAAACATGAAAATAATAAACATAACGATTTAGAAAAAAATAATATAGTTTATTCATTAGATTGCAGTTGTTCATATTAAAAAAATACATAGGGGAAACTGGAAGAAAATTAAAGACAAGGATTAAAGAACATATATATGCCATTAAAAATAATTTGATATCATCATCAGTGGCACAACATTGCAACACTGAAGGTTGTGAAATTTTAAAAGATAGCATCAAAGTGTATTATAACAGAAAACAATCAACTAAAAAGAAGACTACAGGAACACCTAGAAATTCTGAAAATACAGGAAGACATCAGAATTAATAACAACGTGGAACTATATGAAAGGTGGATTGACATCGTTTTTATTTGACCTCGAAACAGATGCTGAACAGATGTAGGGAGTATAGTCATCACTTTGTATAATGCAGTGTGACAGTGCAGTTGACTTCACAAAGGCTTATAGATCAGATGTATTTTGTTTTTGTTAAAATCTGGAGACCAATTGGTTTTAATAAGAGTAAGTTCATTGGTAGCTTCCTTCCCCCTTTTTTCGTGTTTTTTATTATTTAATATGTGATTATTAAAGACCAAACCTTTTTTTTTAAATAAAAGTTCGGTCCTTCTTTCAGTCGGCCTTGGTGTGATAAGCCCTGCAAATTGTTATACCCTATTTATTAGATTGTCTAATTCTGTCTAATTTATAGTCGTGGGCAAAAAGCGTTGTTTATTATTATAAAATCACATGTTATATAGTTAATAGTATGGTTCTTAAAACGCATCTATGAATGTTTATAGTAAAAAACTAAAAATGAAATACAGTATATTATCATATTCTTAACATTCTGGTTTACATTATATTACGTAGCCTGATAGTTCAATGTTAACTATCTTATAATAAATAATTAAATTTCAAAAAAAGATTAAAAAGCTGGGAAATTTATAGAATAAATATAAGTAAAACTTATAAATAAATTTAAATTTCATTATATTATGTGCGAAAAAACACTGAAATGATTTCTATAGTAATGTGGCAAAAGAAAAGAGAGTTACATCTAATTAAATTAATCATACAAATCAAAATAGGTCATACAAATCGATAAAATGTAAAAAAATTCAGTCGATAGCAGAAATTAAGTTTTTAGCATTACTTTTTGAAAGGGCATTGCAAATTGTCCTTTTAATGGTCTATTTACACACTGGTGGGAACGAAATGGTAGCAAGAATAATGCCTCGTGAACATTTCCCGAAGTTAATGAAATATTTACATTTATCAAACAGATAAAAAAAAAAATATTAAAAAACCGCACCTATCAGAACCAGCCCTGTTTCAAGCATGTGATGATCTGCTAATAGATTTCTATTTTTCTGTCTCCAAGGCAGACGTTGTTTGTTTGTTTTTATTAAGTTATGGCAACACAACACTTGGGCGATCTGCCTAGAGGGATGCCTTCCGGAACGTCGTTTTAAGGGTAACTGACCCCTGTTCGTTACAGACGTAGAGAAATTCGGTAAAATCCATGTGTTCAGCCCGTCCTGCACTATGTGAGTTTACTACTCACTTTGAGTGGAGCATGTGAGATCGTTATACGAAAGTGAAAATGGCTAACGGGTATGCTATTCCGATCGCCATCGATCATTAGAAAGAGCCGAAAGACGTGAAACACGTCATTTAAGAAGGCAACGAATTTTTCGACCATTAAATCCGAAATATTTTTATTATTGTTAATAAAAATATAAATTATTAAGAGCATAGCCACTATATTAAGATTATTTCTTAATTAATCAGTAGTGTGATATAAGCAGCGGGTCACGGGTTAATCCCACAATGACCACTTACTCTGCACGGGCTGGTAAAACCCGATCTCGGAGTCTGTTGGATGGCTAGGAGGGCAAATTCGAGTGGGGAGTGCGTTGGTAAGTTGGCAGGCGTCCTTAATTGACAGGAGACAGGTCAACAGAATAACAAGCATTTATTAATTAACAAAACTAAGTTACAAGAATACTAAAGCTAAATGCGATTATATTAAAGTATTTACAGAAATTGGCGATTACGTTCTTAGCTAGGTCGCTGCCCTAGTTTCTAGTTCAGAGAGAAAGTGCTTTTATAAATCTAACCCCTAAATAGAGTAGAGCGTCGTTTATCCGAATCAATTGAGGACTGGGGTTGTTCGGATAACTTATTTTTCGGATAACCAATTATGTACGAAAAAATATATTAATTTATCTCGTGTTGAAATTTTTCTCAGTTGCATGTCGCTTCGCGTTGAATTTTCGTCGATCTTAAGCCTAACGAAGACTATTCTATCGTTAAAAATTATTTTTTTATTTTGTACAAGCAAAATAAATATATTGAAAAATATAAAGACAATAAAAACTTATACTTCAGAAGTTAAGTTAGTATCAAAAACGTAAAATATTTGAGTAGCCCAAGACATAGCCAAAGATTACAGCGCCACAGCACTGGCGAAAATTTAAATTTGTCGACTGGAATTCCTTCGAATAACCGACGTTTCGGATAGCCGACCTTCGGATAAACGACGCTCTACTGTACCTCTAGGTGGAAGGGAGAGTTGGCGAACGTCGTCTGTATGTGGTGTCTTCTATGTCTTCTCCGACGGGATTACAGTCCTTGGCATGGAGATCGACGAACACAAGTACCAAGAATACCTTCCGTGTGCAGACGCCCTGAGCTTCCCGGTGATCTCCCCTTTTATACCTTTTTGTGCGAGAGCTGACACGTCATCGACTCTTGTTGACGATGACGGTGCATTCTTCACACTTAACTGTAAACTTCCTCAGTTCGTTGTTACAAACTCGGTGAAATTCGATATAGTTTAAATTCCTCGGGTTTTTCCGAAGTTAATTAACCGAAAATTTAGATGTTTAAGCGGCCCGTACAAATCCGAAAAAATCCCCGCCTCACAGTAGTATTAAGTTCATTGAATAATTTAAGATATAGATCAAAAATGTAACCTGAAGAAAGAATTAAATTAAAATACTTATATATAAAATATTTTCCATTCCACAACGGATTTTTTAATTTCAACACAAGCATTCAATTTTTGAACTAATTCTTTCCACATATCGAAATGTTTATTTTTTTTAGTAAATTCGTTGTCAAATTTTCCACTGTTCATTTTCTTATTATTTTCTATTGTGTGACTAATATGTCTTTCTCTTCTTCGTTTATTTTTTTAGATAAAACGTTGGAGGCTTCTATTTTGTTCCTGCGTCCTATATCGCTATAACACAAAAGTTAACTGTAATACGTGCAAACTAATTAAGAAGTGATGGAATGAATGTTAGCGTTGTGAAGCCGCCTTACGTCTGTCTCCTCTGCACCCATTTAATGTTCACTGATCGTACCTTTAAAGCAGTTTGTTTGTCTTGTGTAATTTTAAGTATTATAATTTTTTTATATTAATACCAACTGAAGAGGGATTATTCCGATAGTCCGAAATGCGTGCCCGATAGTCCGAAATTGCTCATCTAATCGAGTTTTAATATACAGTACATCACTTTTGTTTTATTAAATGTACTACATTGATACCCGAGTGTTTGTGCTTATTATCACTGGTGTGATAAGTCCTTATTGTCTACCCAACATTAGTAGATATTTAATTAATTAAATTAAACCAAAGGCTAAAAGCAATTCTTAATAATAATTGAGCTGTAAGAATCAGGGTTTAAGCGTCGAAACTTAAACCGGTTTTATTTTCCGACGACGGAAAGGTGAGTCCCGCTCACAGGGTCAGTGGATGGCAATTTAGGAGGGCAAAAATCGAGTGGGAGGTCGCGGATAAATCGATAAGGTGTCGACGATGCACGAGTAATCACTCTCACTTAAATTATCAAATAGTTTAATAAGAATCTTAAATAATGGTTACATATTATAGCTGAAAAGAGAAATACAAAACAGGCCGTTAGAAGGGTGATATCGGCATTCGGGACATATAAGTGATCTAATCCCTTTTTATCTTCCGAATTAATCTAACTACTCTTGGTCAGTTGAATGAGAGAAAGATTTTCCCCAAATAAGAATAGATTTACCTCGCTAGTCGTCGTCGTCTGTGTTTCGTGGAGTAGACGGAGTTGATGGTGTTGAGCAGCCGTTGTCTGTTTTCCGGACGTCCCACCGACAATTGGGTGCGAGCCCTTTTTATATTATTTTTGAGGGGTGAGAACTGTCAAATAGTTGAGGATTTATAAGAACAGCTGTTAGCTGAGCCGGAACTGGATCCAGCTGGTACGGAACGTCGCCGATGTATCCTTTGATCGGATTGTTGACATTGGTGTACTGAAGGAGAAATTTTGATATAAATTCCTACAATTTGACAGTTCTCTCCCATTAATTATTGTATAGTTTGACAATATCTTCTCAGATTTGACAACAATCTCTAAATTGTTTATATTAAATATCGTTTTAGTCGACGAGCGAGGCAATTATTTTCATGTTGTTTTGGTTATCGTGCAGGTGTCCGCAGACACGTGCTACGTACAGCTAAAGGAGAAATGAGAAACCCCGCTTATTAGTTTCTGTTAAACGTCCGTTCTTGCCTTGTTGATTTTATCGTTGATCGAATTTATAGGTATAGACTGTGACATTTAACCCGAGAAGAGACTATCCCTTTTTTCTGTAGAATTACTAGTTAGAAGGAGAACGATACTGATTTAAACAATACAAAAAAAGGGGCAGAATATGGCAGAGCTGTTCACAGGCCAAATCGACTAACTCCATTTTTTAAATCCTTAATACCATCATGCTTAACGGTATACCAAGTATGACGTATTTCTGCTCTCCTTTCCAGCTCGCTCGATGGATGTAACTCGAGACTATCAATTATGTGAGTTATATTAAAACGAGTGAGTTCAATGATGTCAGTTCGAGTACAACATGAAAGACGTTGTATTTGAATGACCCTAATTACTGCTTCGAATGTAGCTTTGCATGCTTTAAATTTCCGTTCTTTCAACTCGGACAGTTACATAAATCATAAGCTTTGCTTTATAAGTGATATGCAAGAATGTGGTATTTCCATATCACTTATAGACATTCACGCGAAAAAATTCAATTCGAACTTAACATTATGCGATGATCCAAAGCTCATAATTTAATTTTAACAAAAGTTTGTTACATTTGTTCGATAGTTTCCCCAATTTTTGAAACATACGAAATGAAATGAGAGCTTCATTTTCTGTTTTCAAAATCAAAATTTATTAATTAAAACCGAAATGAAATTAATTGAAAATAAAAGCAATGTTTTTAAAAGCTGTTTAAAATTGTTCTGAAATTTTCAAATCGTAAATCAAATTTACTTTTAAATTTACATTATTTGTGTGCAGCGGTGAAAGAACGTTTTACTTTTAACGATTGAAATTTTATTTATATGTTGGATCCTTTTTAAAGTTATAATTTTTTTGAATGATTTTCTAGCTTTCATTTATGTTTTACTGTTTTTATGGTTTCCGTTACCTTGTCAAACATTATATCATGATTTCGGTTTGTTCTGTTACCGTTAAATTACTTCCCAGTGTTTATAGAGCTATGCAAGTATAATCTCGAATGTCCTTTTTATCGGGTATAGTATAGTTCTGTATAAGGTTTCTCAAACGGAATACCAGTCGTTTTTTATCCCGGGAAATCCCGCAATTTCCCTAAAAATTCATTGTTTTTTAAATTTTTTTGTTGATGTTATTGTATGCAGTTTCCAGCAAACTTCAATAATTTTTTTTTTATTTGTGAAAATTTCTACGTAATTCAAAGATAATTTTTAATACAGTATATATCTTACGCAGCATTACTAATATGATTTTGGAGGATGCACAACGTATGAAATGACTTCAAAAAACGAAAAATAATTATATCATTTAATTTCATTATATTTTGTATATCTTAAAAAGAATTAATTTTGTCCCGGGATTTCCGGAAGTCTGTTTTCCGGGGATCCCGGGAAACAGTTCACTTTTATCCCGGAATCCCGAGACAAGCAAAACACCGGAAAATGAGAAATTCTAGTTCTGTAGCACGTGTCAAATGGAGTTCTTGTACGCCAAGAAACGCGGCGAAATATGTTTTCTTCTGAAAAAGAGGATTAATGCCGATATATGCAATTAAAAATCTTTTGAAGAAGTGGGAGGATGTTAGAACAACGGTCTTAGAATAGCATCCAAACGAAGTTGAGGTTAATAGGCTTGGGGATATCAACAATTATAACGCTATTAATTACTTCTGAAAAATCCTGAAGAAAAAAAAGCAATCCACATTAGACAGATTCACAAACGGAAAAAACATAACTAATAAAAATGCTAGACTGTGTACAAACAATTTAGATAACGAACAAAGTCTTGGAATGGATTATGTTCGGTAATCGATCACCCACTGAACTGTAATTTTGTTTTCTTTCTCATCATTTCTTACATTCTTTACATTTGTTACTTCGTGTACGGTTTTCGACGTTTAATATTATGGCTGATTATTGAACATTCCACACATTTATTTTTCCGTATTTTATTTATACAGTACATATGTGTATAAAAAGTGGAAAGCACGGGAGTCAACACGGTTCGCGGGTGTTACCCCCGACAGTGTACTCCGGTTTAGGCATTGGTGATGGCCACTCTACATAAAATTCATCTTTGTTTTATCAAAATAAGATTAAATAGAATCGCTATTTTGGGAAAAAGGGTAAAGCTTAGTTCACACTGGGCGCGATTCTCTAGCGAAAGCGAAAAACAGAGCGAATAACACGTTAGACATGACATCGTTTCTGGAGAATTTTACCAATTCGCGAATCGCTTCGAAGTTCGGAACTGTCGAGCTTTTTCGCTAGCGAAAAAGTTTCGCCACCAATCAGATTCCCTCTAGTTGTCACGTGGGTCTTGTTGTTTTCAACATGGCGACACAATCTTTTTCTCGGTGTAAATATAGAACAACTTTTAGAAGAAATGGAAGATGCTTCATTTTTATACACAAAAATGGATCGGAGATACAAAGACGTCGATTTGAAGGAAAATCGGTGGGAGTTGAATGCGGAGCGTCTTAATTTGACAGGTGAGTAGTGTGTACTGTACTTGTAGTTAATCCTACCATAAACTGTTCGGTATAAAATGAACAATCAAATTTGAAGCACGTGCATTTGTATATTATTTCTTATTAATAACCTAAAAAATTTATTTACATAAGATTATTTGGGTTTTACACACATAAAATTTGCTAAGTTATTTAACTTAGCAAATTTTCTTAGCAAATGACTCAATTCATATTTAATGATATGAGAAAAATATCATAACTTGAATATTAACCAAAGAGTTTAAGCAATATTTTGATAGCCATAGATTTAAATACCAAAACATTCTAAAAATATTTAACACGTGATAGTTACTAATAACAAATATGATTGTGGAACATTGAGGGATGGTTTTTTTGTAATTATTAAATGTAAATTGAATTAATCAGCTGCAGTCCCCAAAAATACATTTATAAAAACCTTTTAAGTAGAATTTAAGAGAAATTTAACAAGTTTACAAACCTAACATACATAAATCATTAAAAATAAAAAAATACCCATACAAAGTACAGAATGGCAAAACACCGCTGTATATTGAATGGATGTCTTGTAAGAGTTTAATTGTATTTTATTAAGAAACAATGCTGTTAATTTTAATTGATCATTATTTATAAATATTTTAACATGGAATTTTGTTTTTCTGTTATTATTTTGAAGTTGAAGAAGTAAAGAAAAAATGGAAGAATCTTGTAGATACGTACAGGAAAGAAAAAAAAAAAATTATAGATGAAAGAACTAGAAGTGGTGCTGGTGTGGACGACCTCCACAATTGTAAGTGGAAATGGTTTCCTTAACTGCACCTTCTAATGAATATATTCAATAAACAGGATGAACAATTTTCACAGTATGTAACAGAAATATATTATTAAATATTATAATGAAAAGTACAAGACAATAAAAAGTCATAGTTTAAAACAAATTTTTTTAAAGTTGAAAAATAATCTAGATAAAACTTTACTTATATATTTTTTCTTTATTTTATTAGAACTTGTGGCAATCTTTCATTAAATGATGGCATACAAAATAAAGATTTGGAAGAGATGTGTCCTGTCCAGATGTCTTATCCAGGAAGTCCAAATTTTCAAAGTCTTTCAATGTAATATATTGTTGAGTTCTATCCAAAAGTTAATACAGTAGACCCCCCTATAACGCTTAGATACGTTCCACGCTAACCGAAAATTACGTTGTAGGAATGATTAAATACATGAGCCAATTGCAGCCCGATAGGTGGGAACTTTACGGACTAAGGCTGTTTGAAAGGTTTTCTTCTATAAAATTAACCGATTCTAGACTAATTCCACTCAACATTTCCAAAACACGTATAATTTTTTGGGAATAATCCGTATAAACTATGCTATAAACAAAAAATTATAGGATTACTTACCGAGTGTGTACCGTTCGACTACGCCGTTGCTTAAAGCTGGTTTTCATCGCGGAACAGCACATTAAACGGCGGCCGCGATTTCTAATAACGAATTTTTCGCATAAAAATAACTTGACCTTTGGAGACATCATTAATATAAATAATTTTTATGGCCGTTGAATAAGAAGTGTTTCTTTCACAAGAAATGTATAAAATTAGTGCTGTATTAGACTTACGGTACCTAATTTACATACTGTACAGACGATAATAAACTCAACTTACTAGCCTAAAATCTCCGTAGCGTGTTGCCAGGCGGCAGAAAGCATATATATAATTATAATAAAGTTACAATAAATTAAGTTAATATATAATTATATATACAGTACCTAATTTATATATAATTAATGTATAATTATATGTACAGTACCTAATTTATATATAATACTAAACAGACGATAGCAAACTCAATTTAGCCGCTCCGTAGCGTGGCGCAGGGTCGGAGGAAAGTAGTTCGGCTGCTCATCCACTATTGGTCCAGACTCTATCAATCTTGTCGCGAAACGACGTTATAGGAGGTATTTTATACGAAAGTTTCTACAATTTTTTCGCTACGTTATAGGAATTGTCGTTATAGGAACGTACGTTATAGGGGGGTCGACTGTATATGGTTTATATATTGTTAGTAAATTAATCATTCCTTATCTCAAGTTATTTAATAATAATGTTAAGTGCTCTTACATACATCAAATATTTTTCCTTTAGTTTATACCTGTATTCTTAAGTCTACATTCATGTTTTAATTTTATTATTTGTAGTTTAATTTTTTCATCTATATAGCCTAAATATATATTTCAGTTTCATTTATATATTTATAATTTTTAGGGATATTTCAAAAGATGTACCATGCACATCATCATCATCATCATTTACAGAATTCTCAACATTACCAATGCGTCGAAAAAAAGTAAGGAACAAGATGATGTGCACAATTTAATCCAACTGACGGAGACAATGGTAAACCGTCAACAAAAAGAAGATGAACTATACCATTCTTGTTTCAGTTTTACAGATTAAGAAATCTGAGTCCACAAAAGCGAACAGCGGCTCGTTTTAAGATAGAGGAAGTTATGTATAACATTACAAAAGAACGTTCATAAATGTTCTTTTATAATATTATACATAATTTGTTGTATACATAATCATGTTGTACATAATAAAATTTTGCAAATGAAACATTCTATCATTTAAAAATTATTTTATTTTTGATTTTTACATTTTATTATACATTTGTTATTCGATACGATTTACATAATTTAATTGCCATGGTAAAATATTATTTTCTTGAAAATAAGTAGCAAATTGCTCTCTAATGTCTCTTGCACATTGCGAATACAAGTCGACCCCCTATAATACTGTTGATTATTTCGTTTTATATGAATTCCCTGTTGTACGAGTCACTTAGATTTTACAAATACGTGAGCCGTTCATAACCCGGCACACGTATTTGTAAAATCTAAGTGACTCGTACAACAGGGAATTCATATAAAACGAAATAATCAACAGTGTTATAGGGGGGTCGACTGTAATTATGCTGTTGACATGGTCTTTGAGGAAGAGATGATGATTCACTTCCTATCTCCTTTCTCCACTGTCCTTCTATAATAGTTCCATCAGCAGCCTCTTTATCAATAAAATGGGAGGGACAATAAAATTTCATGTCTGAATTAATTTTGCTTTCTTTTGTCATCACAAAATTATGCAGACACACACAAGCTTTTATGATACTATCTACAGTTTCTGGAGAAGCTTGAATGCATCTGCATAGAATCCTCCAACGTGCAGAAAGAATACCAAATGTATTTTCTATGACACGTCTAGCTCGGCTAAGTCTGTAGTTAAATATTCTTTTTTTCGTTGTTAATTGTCTGCCAGGATATGGTCGAAGTAAATAAGTTTTTAATGGAAATGCCTCGTCATCAACCATAAAATATGGTAGGTTACAAGGCATTCCACTTACTGGTGATGATTGTGGCCAATCCAATTTTTCTGTTTCCAGTGATCTGCCAAGACTTGAATGGGAAAATATACCTCCATCACTTCTTCCACCAAATCCTCCTATATCAACATATATAAATCTATATTTTTCATCACAGTTAGGAGAACTTTACTAAAGTTGCCTTTACTTATAATATAAAGAGCGTGTATTTGGAGGGCAAACCATTTGTACATGTTTCCCATCTATAGCACCAACACAATGAGGAAAATTCATTCGTTCTTAAAATTCCATAGCAAGATTGGCAAATTCCTCTCTGCTTGAAAACTTCACATATTCTTTTGCCAACACATGCCAAATAGCTTCGCAAGTTTTTTTAATGATAGTGCACACAGTTGATCTACCCATTCGAAATGCAAAGGCTTGAGAAATTTGATAATCTCCATTAGCTAAATACCTAAAATTATCGAACAAATCATTTATCATTTGCATTTATAATCTATTATTATATTTCCTTATTTAAAAAAAATATATATAGGCCTATACATTTTATAGGATATAAAACGAGATCTCGGAATTAAAGGTCTTATTTAATTTAAAATATAACTATAAACATATAAGTTTTAAATATCAATTTTATATTTAAATCCACTTTTGAACTATTTTTTACGGATTTCCTTATTTAATTTCTTATATCTAATCGTAAAAATTATTCTCTGAATCAATGGATAAAAATATTTTAAACTTATGTTGGTGGCAAAAAATAAATTTTAAACAAACTAGAACTATATCAGAGACAAGTATGCTTGCTTGCTTATCGATATAAAATCACAAATTTGTTTTATTTCAATCGAATAATAGTAAATATCGTTTAATAAACTCAAAATTCCATACCTTAATGTGACTTTTAAACGTTCTCTCGGAGATATGGCCTTACGAAAATTCGTGTCTTTTTTACGTATCAATGGCTCTACTCTACAGAGCAATTCGTCGAATAATTCTTTGGATATTCTAAAAAACCTAAGACGTGTTATAATAAATGTTTTGTTAATAATATATTTTCTTACTAAAGAGAATAAAAATTAGTATAAACAGTCCTACCTAAAAAAATTCTCTTTGTCATTCAGTCTCATCTCTCGCACCAAATTAGCATGGTAACAATGTTGTTAAAATCTCGGTCTATTAAAATATCTTTCACACAACATCGCTTTCTTTTTTTAGTATCTTTTTCTCTCAATAAATAAACAAACGTGGTTAACAACAAGATATCGGAAGCAGCCATTTTGTTTTTCGAGATGACGTTTCACTTGCTTGCAAATGATTGGCTGCTTAAAATTCGCAATCCGCTTTTCGCTTTTGGTTGTAGGGTCAATTTCGATAAGCGAATGAAAATCGCTTTTCGCATTCGCTTTCGCTATTCGCCCAGTGTGAACTACGCTTAAGAATAAAATTGGTCAGGTAAATTCTACATCTAAAAGAGTAAAAGCAACCGAGGCCCCCAGAGAGCAGTGAACTCCGACTTAAGCAACATAAAGAAAAAATGGCTTTGTCAAGCACTGAAAAACAGCATCACAACGTCAAGCTCGACTTGAACCTCCTCTCAATTCTTCAATATCTATTTACTCATTAAAAATATTCCGCCATCCTTGAAGGGTGAATTTTCAGAATATTATAAATATATAAATGAAGACACAGACTAAAGATACATAGAGATTGAAAACTTCCTACGACATTTATGTTATCCATTTTAAAGTCAATGATATATTTAAACCAAGCAAAATGCACAACTGTGCCAAAATCGGTTACAAGGAACTGCCATCGAATTCTTATGGGGTCATGTCTACCTGACGTCACGATTGTTTGCCTTAAATGTATTCCTTTGGATTGATATTATTCCTAATTACAGATATTTGTAACTGGATTATAAAACATAAGTAAATAACGATTGGGCATTTGAACAGACCTTTGATGAGTTTGGAATTCGACTGTTGTGGTAAATTTCTTTTTACAAACATCACAACACTAGAAATAAATCTAAATATTAAAAATAGTCTCATCCTTCTCTAAAATCTCCCCACACGTAAAAGTCTGATCAACATATGTTACATTGATAAACTAATTGGAGTGTATTCTAAACAAGTAAGTTTAAAATGCAGTTTCAGTTTAGTTTCTGTTTTAAATTGATTTTACAACGGATTCTAAAATACGAATGACTCTGATGAACGAGTTGATGGGTTAATAGAAACTTTTAATAAAAACACCTTTGTTACACACTTATTTCACAAACTTAATGAAAATTGCCTTCATTGTCTAACTTGTAAGTCTATTACACTTCTGACACAAAACGGTTTTATGTTAAAATGAACTTTCTGCTGATTAAATTGCGTTTACTTTGAAATTCTTTATTACACATACAGTATTTCATTTTTCAATGTGAATTTTCCAACGTTCTAGTGTTTTATTAATCTAAAATAGCTTGTTACAAATATTGCATGCATACTTCCTTTTTTTACAAGTTTCGCCTTTTTTTATGTTTAATAGTACAATTTCTGGTTAAAACAGTTGTATTGTTATAACTTTTTTTTTACATATGTCACAAACATATATCTTTGTATCGCTATGAATAATTTTATGCTGTCCAAAAAACCTATTTTCTTAAAATATTTGTTACACATATGACAAGAATATAAGTATTAATAGCTGTGTATAAAAATATGCCATTTTAAACTAGAACTGCATTAAAAACTTTAATTACATACCTGACAAGTATGGTAAAATCAATTATTAAATATTTCATAACGCCAAACAGTGTTTTGTTTTAAAATATTTGTTACATTACAGTTGACCCCCCTACAACACTGTTGATTATTTCGTTTTATATGAATTCCATGTTGTACGAGCCACTTAGCTTTTACAAATACGTGTACTGGGCTGTGAACGGCTCACGTATTTGTAAAATCTAAGTGACTCGTACAACATGGAATTCATATAAAACGGAATAATCAACAGTGTTATAAAGGGGTCGACTGTATATCACAAGTGTGAAGCGCGGATTTTGTCGGATTTGGACGGGCCGCTTAAACATCTAAATTTTCGGTTAATTAACCTCGGAAAAAACCCGAGGAATTTAAACCATATCGAATTTCACCGAGTTTGTAACAACTAGCTGAGGAAGTTTACATTTTAGTGTGAAGAATGCACCGTCATCGTCAACAAGAGTCAGCTCGCGCACAAAAAGATATAAAAGGGGAGATCACGGGAAGCTCAGGGCGTCCGCACACGGAAGGTATTCTTAGTACTTGTGTTCGTCGATCTCCATGTCAAGGACTGTAACCCCGTCGGAAAAGACATAGAAGACACCACACCCTTCTATACAGACGATGTTCGCCAACTCTCCCTTTAGTATTTAGGTATGTAGGGGTAGATTTTATAAAAGCGCTCTCTCTCTGTACTAGAAACTAGGGCAGCGACATAGCTATGAACGTAATCGCCAATTTGTGTACATACTTTAATCGCATTTAGCTTTAGTATTTTTGTAACTTAGTTGTGTTAATTAATAAATGCTTGTTATTCTGTTACCGGCAACTGCCAACTTACCGGCGCACTCCCCACTCGATTTGCCCTCCTTGCCATCCGACGACGCAGAAATCGGGCTTCACGAGCCCGTGCAGAGTAAGTGGTAATTGTGCGATTAAACCGTGACCCGCTGCTTATCTCACACAAGTATGGTTAAATTTATTATTATGAACGATTTTATAAGCTATCAAACATTTTTATTAAACCTTTTCTTACATACTTAAGAAAAATAGTTACGTTCATCAGTATGAGTTTCGTAATGGCGTTTTACTTGCACTTTCCATTTGAAACTTTTATTACAAATATCGCATTTAAAAGGACGTTCTTCACTATAAATATTTTGATGCGTTTTTAAATCCTGTTTTCTTTTAAAACTCTTATTACAAATATCGCATTTGAAAGGACATTGTTCACTATATTTTGATGGCTTTTTAGTAGCTCTTTCCATTTTAAATCCTTATTACAAATATCGCATTTTAAAGAACGTTCTTCACTATGAGTTAAGTGATGCATTTTTAGCTCCTGTTTCTGTTTAAAATACTTATTACAAATATCGCATTTGAAAGGACGTTCTTTAGTATGAATATTTTGATGCCTTTTTACATCTTGTTTTCGTTTGAAACTCTTATTACAAAAATCGCATTTAAAAGGACGTTCTTCATTATGAATAATTTGATGGCTTTTTAGTTGCCCTTTCAATTTGAAACCCTTACTACAAATATCGCATTTGAAAGGACGTTCTTCACTATCGGTTGAGTGATGCCTTTTTAGTTCCTGTTTTCGATTAATATCTTCATTACAAATAGTCCATTTAAAAGGACGTTCATCATTGTATGCTTTTTTATGGCTTTTTAGTTGCTTTTTCCTTTTAAAATTTTTATTACAAACATCGGATTTGATAGGTTGATCTTCGCCATGCCATGCTCTATGACGTAAAAAATCCCGTTTCCACTTAAATTCTTTTCCACATATTTTGCAGGCATGAACTTCGTATATTCTCTTGTGTTTCTCTAAACGGCTTTTACCGTAACGAACGCGCTTACCACAAATGTCGTTTTTACTCTGGAGATTAATATTTTTACCATTTCTTCGCGATGTCTTCGCTCGATTTCCAGATAGCTGCAAACGTAAATTCATGTGAGAGATTTCGTTTTCATTTCCAGTTTTGTGTTCTACCATGTGTCTTCGCAGAAGAAATTGCCACAAAAACTTCTTATTGCAGGTTGTGCAGCGAAATGGTTTTTTTCTGATATGACAGAACAGATGTGTTTCTAATATTCTCTTATTTGTAAATGTCTGTTTACACAATTCACACGTAAATTCTTGTTTAGAATCTGATGAAAACATAAACTTGAAGTATTTCCTTTTAATCTTATCATAAATTTTATTCCATTTTCTACTCGAAGAAAGGTAGCTTTTTGTTTTAATATTATATTTAAATCGTTTCTCTATTTTTGAATTCTGATGGATATTGTATTCGTTAATTTCCTCTTCCTCTTCAACTGAAAGTTTAAAAAATAACATAATAAATTACCTTTTATATTTCAATAAACATAACATAGTTTCAATGTAAAAATATTGGTGTTGAAGTTATATAATTGGTAAAGTAAACCTATGTTTTTCATTTAAAAGCAAGGCATCATTTGTTGTTTAGACTAAAAATAAAACATTTTACATTTTACAATCATAAACTGATTGAATCAGGTTTAGTTCTTTAGAGGACTTTTACATAAGTGTAAAAAATTAAACTGTTTCATTTGATCTGTTTTTATTTATTACATTTATGTAGTCTGTTCCAGTGGTAATCATAGAAACGTAAAATAAATCGTGCGCTTTTAAGAAGGAGAAGAAATGATTAGTGTAAAAAAAGTACCACAGCAAAAGTCTATGTATTTTAAGTAGAAAAGCAAGATTGGTGTATTCTTAGTTTTTTTTTTTTTTAATAATTTGAGCATATGTCCAGTAGATCTGTACAACGTTTATCAAGAATATTAGCAACGCGTTAGGAAACACGTTGCTAATATTTACTAGTCATTAAATAAGTTATATTGACCTCGTTTACTTCGATTCAATACATTTTCTTTATTATTTTAGCCGATCCATGAACAAAGTAGATAACATGAATGATTACATCACAATTCAAGAATTGTTATTTAGTAATTCTGATCATCCCAAAACATTTTTATTAACTACAAAAGTTATATTAAGATGTTGTATGAGGTTACGTGTAATTTTGAAATATCTAATTCGAGTTAAATGTTTAACACTTGAATCTTGAATGCAGTTCTTCAGCTGCCCTCTGAATAATCTATATATATATATACATAAATGGACGTGTGTGTTCCTATATTTCACTTTTTCGCCAAAAGTACACATCGCACGTGAATGGTGTTTGTATGTGGTGGTAGCCCCAAGTCTCCATTCGTTGCGTCTCGATAGCTATAAGGGTGCGGGAGATATGAGGCTGAAAGTGGTTGAAAGTGGCTTTCTATTTCGAATGTTTTGTTCGAATTTGTTCGAACAATATTTGAATTAAATTCGAACATAAAATTCGAATATTGGTTCGATTATAGAACGATCGTAAACGTTCCAGAAACGTTGAAAATAGTTCGTTTGACTGGACGTGAACAGGAGACGTTCAGAAATAGAATCGGGACCAGGAAGTGTTAATATAAAGCGGCATGCAAGATTTACAGGCGGTTTTTTGCGCTTTTGCGGGAAATCGAACATATTTTTATGCTCATGTAAAAATTCTCTGGAAACGTCTGGAAACGGGAGACCTAATTCTTGCATTTTGTGAAAACGGGTAAGATTTGCTATAATGTAATTATCTTAATCTTCACTATCGTTACTTTTTGCCCACAAATAAAAACCCAGCGAAGCGGGTCTTTGCAGCTAGTACTAATATAAAAAGTTCGAACTAAGTAACATGTTACTTACTTTGGATGTTCATTTCATTTTTGTTAAAATTTTCATTTGGAGTGAAGTATTCATTGTTGACAGGCTAAACAATAAGCAAAAAATACATGACAACCACTAATAATTAGTAAATAAATAATAAAACAATGGGACCGGTTATTCTAAATATTAAAATAATAAATTTTAAAAAAATTTTCTTTAAAGAAATCTTTTAAGAAATAAATGAAATTCACTTTTTTAAATCCGATTTCGATGGAATTAAAAATAGAGATGGACTAGAAACTTATTTAGTATTTCTCACTTTATTTTTCTTTTTTATCTATATATATTTCGCTTATCAGCCTCATCAGTGGACGTTACAATCTTACATTGCCAATACTTTTATACTCTATCAAGCTATTACAGCATGCATCAACACATGCGCCGGTATTTAAATTAATACAATTTACATATCCTTTGATACAGTAATGTTCTATAACACGTCTTTTTACAAGATTTTTTACTTTGTACAATATTTTAATATTTCGGTCAATAATACAGTTTGTTATACTGCAGATTGCCGCCTCATGCTGTTTCAGTCTCATTTCAAGTTTTCTTCCTGTTTCTCCAATACAATATTTTCGTTCTGTACATGTACACATCAGCCTGTATACGACTCCTGCTACTTCTAAAGGATTGTTTCTCATTTTCTTTGTTAATTAAACGGATATATTATTAACAGATATATTGTTATAACAGATAATTAAATTAAAAATTTGATTACCCTTTAACTGCAAAGAAAGAAGAATGGTTTAAAAAATTAATTATAAATTTAACAGACGTTGAAGTACAAGAAGATTATCTACGTTTATTATCATATGGAAGTAATATGAATTTACCTATATTTACAAAAACAACTGAAGTTGTGGCCGAAATAGAAAGTGTTATCCAACGAATCTCAGGAAAACAAGAAGATAAAAATCAGTTAAGAAAAAATTTAAGTAGAGATCTTCAAAAATATAAAGGAAAAGGTGCGTACAAAAATTATATATTAGATAAAAAGGCAATTAAAATAATAAAAAACAAATAGATTAATTATGTTTTTTAAAAATAAACAAATTTCTATTATAAAAGCAGATAAATCTCATGCACATATAATTATTAAAAATTCAGACTTACAACAAAAGAAAAAACAAATAGTAGCTACAGATGAACATGAAGTTTTACCCAGTGATCCAATGGAAGATATTAAAAAGAAATTAATTAAATTAATGAAAACATATAGAAAAGAGTTTACAAGTCAAGATTTTAAGAAGATAGTAAATTTTAATAATGTACGTATCCCACAACTTAATATTAGACTTAAAACCCACAAGGTGGGACAGATTTTTAGACCATTAGTAAAATTTAAATACTCAGTATTATATAATTTGGAACATTATATAAAAAAATTATTTGCAGTGTATACTTGATTCCAAATATACGATAAAAATGCAGATCAACTGATCTCAAGATTAATGCGTGGTCAAAGTAAGAAATCTTATAGATTCCTAAGTTTTGGTGTAAAATCTATGTATTCTTCAATAAACTGGAAATTTATCACAGAAAGTTTAAGTAAATATAATTTACCTTGCCACATTTTAGAATTTATACAGTTTACTTTTAAAAATAATTATTTTGAAATCTTTACATAACATTATCTCAAAGAGATGGAATAGCGATGGGATCAGTGGTCGGCCCAAAACTTGCAGACATTTGTATGGCATTATTAGATGAAAAAATCTTCCAGTTTCAAGGTATTGTTTTTTATACTAGATATGTGGATGACATATTCATTTTGTACGACTGAAATGACACCACAGCCGAAAATATCAAGATTTATGCAAATAGTTTAAATAATAACAACAAATTTACCTATGAAGAAGAAAGAAACTATGAAATTAATTATTTAGATGTCACAATTACAAGACAAAATGAAACATTGCTGTTTCGTAAGAACGAAAAAATATGTAATAATAGTAAGGTTATTAAAAAATTTTACACACCTGAACCATTTACGGTGTGATGATGCAAAACATCGGTAAACAAACGTTTTCGAAACCCTTCTGGGCTCTGCTTCAGGTTCCAATCAGTTTCTAAAAGGACGTTCGATATCCGTTAGAAGTAGAAATCCGTTCGATCATGTCGTTTAAAGCTTGAGTTCGAATTGTAGGTTCGAATGGATTCACACGATCCAAGTCGCGCATGCGCGATTAGTTCGCCCGTTAGAGTTTGATGGGTGAATTGGAGCGTGTTGTGAATTAACTCCTGCCAGGCCATTGATAACAGCATCTCCTCTTTAAAATTTATGCACGTGTTGGTGGTTGAGGATATAAATATATGCATAGCCTCTAGCCATTTGAGGTGTTCAATAAGAGACGAATCGTGGAGGAGAATGGCCTGGGAGAAGTTCGCTACTATATCTGGATCGATTACATACGTAGCGAGGGCCGTGGAAGTTCTTCCGTGCGGAATATCGGCTAGATGCTCTTGTATTCTGACTCCCAAAGATCGTTTAGTGGAGCCTATATAAATCAGGTTCCTATCGCATCTGTTGTCCTTCACGGGGATACTATAGATGCCAGGGCGTCTGATGGGGTTGGGAGGGTCCTTTCCATTACGTAAGAGGTTGAAAATGGTGGGACATCTCCTAAATGCGAGACGTAGCTGACGTTTGGTGGCAAGCTTAACGTATAGAAATTTTAAGTACGGATTGTATGTGATGGCGATACGTTCTATTTCTTCAAGAAGGCCGTCCTCGACTTGGTCCGATTCCTGTGCCTTTCTCGCATATATACGTTGCTGATGTTGTATTAGCCTATGTATATGTTTGTGATACCCGTGTTGGGCTGCGGCAACATTAATCTTGAGATCAGTTGATATGAATTTTTCATGGTATATTTAGAATCAGGTATACACTGCAAATAATTTTTTATATAATGTTCCAAATTTATCTTTAAATACCGGCGCATGTGTTGATGCATGCTGAGATAGCTTGATAGAGTATAAAACTACAGTGGTACCTCAGGATACGAAATTAATCCGTTCCGAAACTGAGATCGTATCATGAAAATGTCGTAAGGTGGATCATCTTTTCCCATACGATTACATGTAAAACCAAATAATTCGTTCCAACGCGAAAAACATACTCAAATTAAAGCCAAGTAATACATT